GAAACCCTGCAGAATCAAAATGGAATCAACCTTTCTGATTGAAGGGCAGAGCCCATGTGGACTCACTAGAGAAATTACAGTGGCAAGAATAAAGAAAAGGTTGTGAGGGCACTGGTGGCTTACACCTATAATCTTAACTACCCAAGAGGGCTGAGTTCTGAGGATGGTGGCTCAAAGCCAGCCTGGACAGGAAAATTTTAAGAGAACCTGTCTTCTAATCAATCAGCAAAAAGTTGGGATTGGCTGAGAATGTGGCTTAGGGGTACAGTGCTTGCATGAAGCCCTGGGTTTGATTCCTTACATAAACAAAAAAAGCCAGAAATGGCTCTGTGGCTCAAGTGGTAGAGCCCTAACCTGGAGCTTAAAAGAAGCTCAGGGACAGGGCCCAGGCCCAAGCCCCAGGACTGACATGCGGACGCGCACACACACACACACACACACACATACACATACACACACATACACACACACATACACACACACACACACACACACACAGAGCAAGCTGGGGGCTGGGAATGTGGCTTAGTGGTAGAATGTTGAATGTTTGCCTAACATGCAAGAAGCCCCCCCCCCCAAAAAAAAAGCAAGCTGGGGGCTGGGAATGTGGCTTAGTGGTAGAATGTTTGCCTAACATACAAGAAGCCCTGGGTTCAATTCCTCAGTATCACATATACAGAACAAGCCAGAAGTAGTGCTGTGGTTCAAGTGGTAAAGTTTGAACAAAAGCAGCTCAGGGACAGTGCCCTAAGTTCAAGCCCCTGGACTGGCAAAGTAAAAGCTGGGCTGGGTACCAGTTGTTCTCGCCTGTAATCCTAGCTACTTGGGAGGCTGAGATCTGAGGATCACAGATCAAAGCCAGCCTGGGCAAGAAACTTAGTGAGACTCTGATCTCTAGTTAACCACCAGAAAACTGGAAGTAGTGCTGTGATTTTAAGTGGTAAAGCTGAAGAGCTGAGGGATAGTGCCCAGGCCTAGAGTTCAAGCCTCATGACCAACAAAAAAAAAGAAAAAAAGCTGGGATGGAGGTGTGGCTCAAGTGACAGAGCATCATACATGAGTGAACAAGTCAAGCAAGGGCTTTAGGCTCAGAGTTCAAGCTTCAAAGGAAAGAGTGAAAGCACAGAGCCTCCTCCGAAACTACAACTATTAAACTTCCCAAAGCCATACAATACAGCTGTGTCTTCAAAATTTCAAGGGAAAATTTTGGGTCGAAGAATATCTAGTTATGAGACATTAAAATTCAAGGCACTTAGACCAGAAGTGCAGAAGTGGAGCCTCATTCCTGTTATGCCTAGCTACTTAGGTGTTGGAAATTGAAAAGACTGAGATTTCCCACCTGCCAAAGTGAAATGTTATCAAATTCCTATCTCAACCAACAAACTGGGTGAGGTGTTTGAGCTTGTAATCCGTCCTAGGTAGGAAGCCTGTAAAAGGATTTGGCTTCAAGAATGGGCAATAAACAAGAAGTTATCTGGAAAATGATCTATCTATAAGACCTATCTGAAAGAGTGTTAAAGAGCTGGAGGCATGGCTCAAGTAGTGGAGCATTTGCTTAGCAAGCACAATGCCCAGTTCTCAAACCCCAGTAGCTAGGTATTGGTGGCTCACTCTGGCTTTTGAGAACATCCAGGTGCTGCAAGGAAACTATACCACAGCTGAAGGGTTAAAGACGTCCCAGCCCTCACTAGTTTATATGACCTGCACTAGCCCTGGAACATCACTCTTAAGCAAAGGTAGGTGAGCTCTAGATGACCTCCCTCACTGCAGTCATTTCTAGCCAGGCCAGAGGCGATGCACTTCCCCTAGTGCCTAGAAGGCCTGTGATTGATACAAATGTAGTACTTCATTTGCATGAGGGGCTGTGTTGTGATTGGCCTAAATGTTTCCTTTACATGAAGGACTGTACTATGACTGGTGCAAACATAATCCTTCATGCCACATACATCTTGCCACATACCAGCTTGGAGTTGTTTTTTTTTTATCCTCCTATTCCTGGGGTTTAAACTCTAGAACTGGGCACTGTTGAGCTTGTGCTCAAGGCTAGCTCTCTACCACTTGTGCCAGAGCTCTATTTCTTTTTGTGGTTAACTGGAGATAAGAGTCACCGAGACTTTCCTGCCCAGGCTGACTTTGAACCTTGATCCTCAGATGTCAGCCTCTTTTTTAATTTTTTTATTTTTGGGTCCGGTTGTGGGGCCTGAACTCTGGGCCTGGGCGCTGTCCCTCAGCTCTTCAGCTCAAGGCTAGTGCTCTACCACTTGAGCCACAGCGCCACTTCCGGCTTTTTTTTTCTGTTTATGTGGTGCTGAGGAATCGAACCCAGGGCCTCATGCATGCAAGGCAAGCGCTCTACCACTGAGCCACCTTCTCAGCCCCAGATGTCAGTCTCTTGAGCAGAATTATAGGTGTGAGCTAATGGCAGCTGTCTCACGATTTGTAACTAGAGCAAAAACCCATAGCCAACTGGGTGGTAACAGAAATAATATTCTCTTTTGGCGGCTGCCTATGGTAACCGAGCCGATCTGAAACAGACTGTTCTGAAATGTGGTCTCCTGACATGAGCTTCACCTGTCCTTGTTAAGGGCAGCTGCTCCAGGCCAAGTGTTGCTGGCCACAAGAGCACAGACCAAAGTGGGGGACAGCTGGGTGAGCTCAGTCAGTAGTGCTGTGACTCATACCCTGCATTGTTCTTGGTGAGCCCCTGGAGATGCACCTGTCTGTGGAGAGGCTTGGAGTCACTGTCACACAGTCCCCACAGAATAGGGAGTTGCTATGCCCTGAGTGAAGGTCATCCAGATTCCAGGTGAGGGCCAGTGTGTAGGAAGCATGAGGTGTAGGAAGATGCCAACCTCATAATCGTCAACAGCGCTCAACTCCCTTTCCTGTTGACTTTGGCTTGAAGTGAGTGTCTCACACTTTTTTTTTTTTTGTCATCATGGGGCCTGAACTCTGGGCTGGGCGCTGTCCCTCAGCTCTTCAGCTCAAGGGTAGCACTCTACCACTTGAGCCACAACACTACTCCTGGCTTTTTCTGCTAATGTGCTGAGGAATCAAACCCAAGGCCTCATGCACGTGAGGCAAGCACTCTACCACTGAGCCACCTTCCCAGCCCCCTCACACTCTTTTAATCAAGGATGGCACTCTGCCAGTTGAGCCACACCTCTACCTCCAGCTTTTTGGTAATTAACTGGAGATTAAGAGTCACACATACTTTTCTGCGAAGGCTGGTTTCCAACTGTGATCCTTAGATCTCAACCTCTTCGTTAGGATTACAGGCATGAGCCACCAGTGCCTGGCTATTTATTTACTTTTCAGCACCAGAATTTGGATCCAGGGCCTCAACCTTACCAGGCAGGTACTCTTTCACTTAGCCACACCCCCAGCCCTTTTGGGCTTTAGTTTTTGGATAGCATCTTGCTTTTTTCCCCTAGAGCTGGCCTCAGACCACAGTGCTTCTATGTCTGGCTCCAGAGGAGCTAGGATGACAAGCAAGTGCCACTAGCACATGTCAGGTCCTGAGTGCAAACTTAGTCCTATTAACAACTAAGTAGGTGAATGGTTACAGAGGAGGTGAGACTATGATTCACAGAGCTCTGTAGAGAGAGACCACTAACGCTTGGCCAAATGAATGGACTCTATGCCAAGTAAGAAGTCGGACACATGAGGCCACATGTGGCACTACTCTGGTTGGACAAGATAGATTTGGAAAGTGATGGAGACAGGAAGTAGGTGCCTGGAGCTGGCGATGGGAGAGGGGTTGATGGTGAATGGGTTTAAGTGGCCTGTGTGTGGGTGATGCTGTAATGAGGGTGGTAAAGCCATTACAACTCACCCACCTGTATGCTTAGGATGGTCTGGGGCTGCCACTCAGGTAGATTTCAGGAGCCATACCCACAAGTTTTTCTGATACCTGGTATCTGGCACAGAGGGCTCCATCAACATTTGCTGATGAGCTGAGTGAATTTCTGTGGATTCCAAGCATTTGCAGGAATCCCCAGTGTTAGTCTGTCCTCTTCTACTTGGAGCTTTACAATCCCCATCCTAAGCCTTAGCACATCTCTAGTCCTCAGGTGTATCAGTGGAATGCCCTGTACCCAGAGCTGAACTCTATCTTGCTCTTCACAAAGAAAAGAGCTCTCTTCCCAGAGCAACTGCCAATTTCTCCTGAATCATCTCCATTCCTCTCTGCCCAGACCTAAACTCAGCACCCAGCCTGTGTGCTATCCCACCTCTAGTCCTGGGACGGTATAAGGATGCCTCTGAACAAAGACAGGTAACATCTCTCCCTCTCCTGTGAGAGAACTGGCCTTGTTAGCTACACTGGCAATAAACTCCCTTTGCTCTACGGGGCCAGTCGTGGGGCTTGAGCTCTGGCCTGGTGCTGTCCCTGAGTTCTTCAGCTCTAGGCGAGCACTCTACTACTTGAGCCACAGCCACTTTCAGTTTTCTGATGGTTAATTGGAGATAGTCTCACACTTTCCTGTCCCAGCTGACTTTGAACTGTGATCCTCAGATCTCAGTCTCCTTAGTAGCTAGGATTACAAGTGTGCATTAGCCACTAGTGCCTGACTACCAAGTTCTTGGTGGTGGTGGTATTGCTGGCTGTGTCATTGTAGTGGGCTGGGTCTTCCAGCCCTTCATAGAGATGCAAGAGGACATGGGCGCCTGGGGGGAAGGGCGCTAATGCAGGTATCCTGAATCCCTGCAGAGCTTTTAGCAGTTGGGTAAAGGCAGAAGAAGGGGGACTTGAGAGAGCAGGGCCTGCAGTCATTTCTCCCCAACTCACAGCCCTCCATCTAAGATGTGTGTGGTGAACCTGCAAGCCCCTGGGGCCAGCCTATGTGAGATAGCACTCCTGCCCCCTGGAGTCTAGAGAGGACATTGCAGAGAGCAGGGCTGGCATGATGTAGGGAGCACAGCCTGGTGTCCCAGGGCTGGATACTGTGAAGCTAATCCCCACAGTGTCCATTCATGAATAAAGTCTGTATCAATTAACTATAATAAATAATTTAATTCTATAAACACAAAAAAAATACATGTTAGTATCTGCTGGGAACATAGCCTATTCCATGGTGATGGCATGAACGGTGGCTCACAGTGTCACACTTCACTTGGAGGGTGTTTCAGGCACTTGGGTGTGGAAGAGAACTGGACCTGGCATCTGCCATTGCCGGGTGGGGCGAGGTGTGGGCTCCCTGCGATGGTGCCCATGTGCCCAGCTCTGCTGTCCTGAGCAGGGAAACATTTCACCTTCTGGGTGGGCAGCAGCCAGCAGCGAGGTGCAGACATTTACTCCAGTGGCATCAGCTGCAGCCCCTGGGCACTGTCTATGAGGAGCAGAGCCTGCACCATGATGCACTTCCCCGGCTGTGGTGAAGTGGGGCTGACAGGCCCTCCACAGGCCAGGGTACCCCGAAAGCAGTCACAGGGTCACTGCAGCTGTGGCCTGCACGTGCTGCAGGAGCTGCTCGCAGTAAGCTGCTGAGCGGTGCTTGTGGATCACAGCCTCTGTCTCCCGTACCAGGAGCTCCGGGAACAGGACGCTGCCCTCCTTGAGGACCTCTGCAAAACACGAAAGCCTGGAAGTGGCAGAAGCCGACGACAGTCCTGTGAGCAGCTGGCATCATGGGGAGAAACCTTCAGGGGGTCCTCATGGCCCAGGATGGGGCATTTGAAGATCTGTCTGGGAATCAATTTTACTATAGGGCAAGTGGGAACCATGCCATGCTCCTCTTCTCCAGCAGAGCTGGAGCCAAGGAAGCAAGGGTGATGATGCACCCAGGCAGGTGCCTCCATCTCTTTACCTCTGGTGACTGCAGACACTCCCTGGGAAAGCTCCCAGGCTGGCAAGATGCACTGAGCATCACAAGACTCACCTAGAACTGCATCCTGGATGACTCTCTCAGGGTCGTCCAGGTGCACAAGCAGCTCCCGGTACAGGTACTGGATGTTGCTCTGATAGTAGGCCTTTGCTTCGGAGCTCTGCACACACTTCAGCCAGGTGAGCAAGGCGGAGGCAGCTGCCATCCTCACATCATTAGAGACATCGTCCAGGCGCTTCAGGAGCTCTGGAAGGCGAGGCCAGGCCAAGCGTGAGATCCAGGGTAGGCATCTCATGCGTGAGCACCATTAGTGGGACTGAACCCACACATGGGGGAGTTCTTGCCCTAGGGACCCAGAGTGCACTAAGGGCTTAGCAGTCATGCCTGTGGGCTTGGCAGACCTACCATCCCTGAGTGGAGCTGTGGCTCAAGTGCAAGAGTGCAATCCTTGAATAACAGAGCTCAGGAACAGCAGCCAGGCCCCGAGTTCAAGCCCCAGGACTGATGTGCACACACATGCAAACCTGTACATGTGCACACACACACAAATTTCTTTATCCTTTTTTTTTTCCCTATAAAAGTCAGTGTCAGACACAAACATAAACACCTGCTATCATAAGCAAGTATCCTACCAGGATAGACCTTGAGGGATTTATCTGGATCCATCGCATCCCCAGAGGTCTTTAGAAAGGTGTTAATGATGTGGCAGGATGTCAGTCGGGTCATCATGGAGTCTTCTTCCAGCGTGCCCAGCACATGTGCCATCAGAGTCTCCTGTGCCTCCTGCATCTGCAATCAGCAAGCCTGCATGAGACTGTCATGGCTGGGTCCACACTGGCCATCCGAGCCATGACAACACTCGTAGTGATAACATCTCAATCAACCAACAGGGCATGGTGGCTCATGCTTGTCATCCCAGCTAAATGGGATGCACTAAAAGGATCACAGTCCAGACTGTCCTGGGGGAGGAACACCAGACCTAAGTTCAAAACAATGTAAAAAAGGATTTGGGGGTGTGGCTTAAGGAGTAGAGTGCTCTCCTAGCAATTACAAAGCAAAACAATGCAAACACAATACAAAGAGGGCTGGGAAAGATGGCTCAGTGGTAGAGCGCTTGCCTTGCATGCAGGAGGCCCTGGGTTCGATTCCTCAGCACCACATAAGCAGAAAAAAAAGCCAGAAGTGGCGCTGTGGCACAAGTGGTACAGCGCCCAGGCCCCACGACCGGACCCCCCCCCCAAACGAAAAAAAAAAGGCTAACAGCACACTCCAGCCAGCAAATACAAAACAGACTTGGATCTTGGGGCGGGAGGGCGGGGGGCGGGGTGTGCGCCATTCCTAGGGATTGGACTCAGGGCCTGAGCGCTTCTTTTGGTCAAGGCTAGTGTTCTACTACTTGAGCTACAGCACCACTTCCAGCTTTTTTGGTAGTTAACTGGAGACAAGAGTCTCATGGACTTTCCTGCACAGGCTGGTTTTGGACCGTGATCCTCAGCTCTCAGACTTCTCAGTAGCTAGGACTACTAGTGTGAGCCACTGGCGCCCAGCTGAATCTTCTTCTTCTTTTTTTTTTTTGCCAGTCCTGGGGCTTGAACTCAGGGCCTGGGCGCTGTCCCTCAGCTCTTCAGCTCAAGGCTAACACTCTACCACTTGAGCCACAGCACCACT